CAAAATAGTGGCAAATACCAAAATAGTGGCTTAACACCCGTCCGTCACTGACAATTAAATCAAAATAAATCAATCAAATCAAAATAATATCATAGGGCGCATGAAAATAAATGGATTCATTGAATGTACGTTAGAGGTATACATTTACTTACCCTTTTCTTTATTTTATCTTTCAAGAATGGTTTCAACATGGCAAATATGGCGTCAAAGAAGCCAGACTCGTTAATAACATTCATACTTTTCATTCTTAAGGGAAGGCAGTCCTGAAATAAATGCAGGTTTATTGAGTTGAATATATTCGAAATGATGGTGGAGGTATATGTAACGACACAAGCCGTGGTCTTTATATCGTTGTATAATAAAACAAATGGTTTAAATTAAAGTACATCTATAATTACACGATTTTATTAATTATTCATTTAGATTCATAACTGTATGTATGTAATTGTAATTTATGTTTTTTCCACCATTATGTCATGTTATTTCCCCCTGACACGTGTCGGAGAACCCCAGAGGAGAAGAATTTTCCCCGTGATAATTATATAAGACGGATGAATATAAGACATGCTAACCGCACTCATCATTGAAGCTGCACTCATAGCAAAACGAGGTCCAATCTGTGCCATGTGGTTTATATTAAACCCCTCCATATCGATGATTTCCACAACACCATTGATTTGCGTCTCTTCATTCCACATTAAATAATCCCCCGTCAAGAGACCGTATCTCAAATATTCCCAAATGGTGAACTTCTTAGGATCCCATTTACCTAAAAAAAATAAAGACAAAAATCATATTTGTTTGTCATCTGTCGAAAGTTTATCATCGCTTGAAATAATTTATAAAAAGTTGTTGTCAATGACTTAGTCCCCGTTTGTGTTATAGGTGCAGAATATTGCATGGATATTGAGGAGACATTCATAATATCGACCGACGCCGAAGAGAGTTAAACTGTGGAATTGTCGTGTATTTTTTTGGAAAGCAGGTGAAATTGGGTTACTTCTAATGCACAGTACATTATGTAATACTATTTCAAAGGTTCACCAGTTCAAACATTTACCATATTTTAATTAACACATCGCCACGGGATATGCATATAACTGATAACAAGAAAGCAGCTCTTCCAGCCGATGTATGTGTGAAGTTTAAACTCGATTGATCCAAGCATGTAGGAGATATGTCTCTGTGGAACTGCATTCGTTCATAGAGGGTCTATGATTCGTTTAAACAAGATGACACACACAACCGAAATCCGATTTCGGAATGCTGAAAATATGTGATGTCGATGCAGTTTGGATCTTAAAATGGGTGCAATTTGGCCATGAAACAAAATGCATGTTCATATGTCCGGGCATATACTGTCTGATGTATGTGCGAAATTTGAAATCAATCGGTTTAATCATATGCAATACTGCTGGATACGGACAGACGCACACACGACAGATTCCGGGGGGGACTAAAATGGCAATGGACTAAAACAAAAACAAGTCGTCAATATGGAGAGTAAATTTTGTAGAATTGTTAATGCTTGGATATTATATTGGTTTGCATGTGCAGTTTAAGACCCATGCCTACATCATTTATAACTACATATATGTGTGAACAATTTAAACGACATTCACCTGGTCGATGAATATTGATAGTCCTTCCTTCATTGTCTCGTGTTGGCAATGACACCATGGACCCGGCTTCAATCATTTCCTTTATACTAGATGGTCGATAGTTTTCAAAAACAGCGTCTAAATCTACCCTCATGCTGCACCATTTCTCCAAAAGTTTAAAAGCTTTTTCGACGTCAAATTTGCGAGCTCGTAGAAAGGCTAATATAAATACGGCGTCAGTGGGGCACCTGATGTCTGGGCGGGCTCTAATCATTGCCCAGAGCCGCTTGATGCCTGCATCACGTGACTCGGCAGTCTCGTTTAGCTCCTTTCTAGCTTTCTCCAGCAGCTTTGGGCTCAATTTGCAGTCGTAGACAGGGGGTTCCGCCATCTTTGTTCTTTAAACGTGTTATGAGATGGGAATAGCTAGTTCCGAGATAGTGGCGTCGGTAGATAGATAACCTTATAATGCACCGTCGGTTTATCGATGCAGACATAAAGGTTGACCTGCTAAAAGATCACTACGCAAATAAATTACCGAACAAATATGGAAAAGGTGTTCAACTGGAGTTCATATGAACTACATTGTGAGATAGTAGTACAAAGGTCAATAATAGACAGGATATGACGTCATATTGATCAATTTAGACACTGTACTTGCAAAGCCTTATTAATTGTGCATACATTATCAGAGGATCAGCTAGGTGTATTGTTCAAGTTATAAGCTGTAATCAATTGTTTTTTTTATTTTCGTAATAATTTAATTAAAATAAATAAAAAACGTAAAATCGCAAAGTGTAAAATGTAATCAGGTATTTTATTCGTCATTAATTTGTACAAAAATCTCATTTTTTGTAAGCATATATAGTATTTTTCATATTAAATGTCGGAATTTGTACGCAATTTCCAATTTTGATTCCTAAACACAAATTATCAAATATATTATAAACGTGTAAAATGTAATTACGAATTTTCTTTATCTGTAAATTGTAAAAACTTGTTTTTACTGTAAACGCAACTTTCATTTTATTTCCTGTAAAAACGTAAAATGCCTTTTTTATTTCTTGTAACCTGTACCAGGTACCCCCCCCCCGCTTATCAGGTAAATCCAGAATTGGATATGCCATATAAACAGACAAGAAATTTCTCATATAGAAGAATAATTAGTTATGGTTTTGACACAATGCCGCATATTTTTGCGGCAAGGTTACATCAAATAATCTACGACGGACGGACGACTAAATGTTCATCCTCATTCCTACGAAAAAGCGACTTATCGTGAATAGGCGCACCATAGGGACAATATAATTAGTTTTTCAGTGTGTTCGCAACTGAATGTTCAAACCATTAAAATATGTGCTTTTGACCTGGTGTTGTTATAGCTTTAACATTGTCGAGGTTTATTCCGTGGTTAACCCATATATAATTCAGGGTTTGAACACAAGTCTTTCTGTTAACGTTTCCAGTGGTCGTGTTGAAAGTTTGCAGTTTCTGTTGCCCAAATAATAAATAAAATATAAAACGTCTATAAAATCCTTTAAAAAAGTCGGTACAAATAGTATTTCTTATAACCGCTATTGTTGTTTTCGAATGTCTGAAGAACAACAGGTTGTATGAATCACGATGCATGACATCGATTTCATCCACCATATAAAAAACAGTAACAAAAAACGAATACCAAATCAATGGTTGACATTTTAAACTTTGAGTGACGAATATGCAAATGAAGGATGTACCGTACGTTCAGACGTGGTGTGACAAACTTTTGTAGCGAAGCACTGAAAGGTGAACACACTTTTACATAATCGCTGTCAGTCATTATTCTATTCGTTCTTAGCTGGTCCAATACCACCTAGCCCTGTGTTTAGTTTTCACATGCATATGAGTAACGGCAAGTGTTTAGGTAACATTCACAGTTGTTTTTGTATGCATATTAGTAACACCCATATCTCCCGTTTCATGTTTGTTACATTCATATCTTTTCATATGCATCTTAGTGCTAATGTTAATGATATCAATATTTCGTTTTACCCCATATATCACGACAGTTTAGTATCATAATGCAGAATTATTTCCCATTTCTCCGTAGTATGTAATAAAAAAAAACGTAATCGAATTGGTTCATGCAAGCTTATTGAACTTTTTACATCATGGTTGACTATCACAAAGTTCGCCAATGCATCCTTGCAATCGTGAATATAGTGAACGCTCCAAAAAATACTACATTTCTTAAATGCATTATGTTAACTAGCGATAAACGGTGTTCATTAGTTGTATTTAATAATTGTAGTAATGTAGTTTGAAGTGTGTCTGTCCTAATTCTTTATACAACGGGGAAATAGTTACAAATTACATTTCGTACTTTCTAGCTCAGTGTCGGTGAGCATGTATAGAAACATATATTACAGAGTTCAGTGCCGGTAGAATGTTCACAAGTACGCTTACGGGTGATACATTTGACCAACGTGACCCTTCTATAAAACTCAATGTATATATCAACTTGTCACTGATTCGAAAAAAAAACGAGGAAAATATTGGTCTTCGATAAATCAATAATTTATTAGAACAAAATAAACAAAATCAACCAGAATTCAAATACATGGCCACCAATAAAAACGTAAATCAGGAAGCCATAGAAACTTTGAAACATAAAAGAAACAAACAATAAAACTGAAACGAAATTCTTGAAACTAATTTGAACGGTATTTCAGTGATAATTTCAGTTCTTGGAATTATATTCTTAGTTGTATTTTGGTAAAAATGTCCCCCACATCTTGCCTCATATATTTGTTCTAACTGATAATGATAATGATATTATAAGTTATTGTTGTCTTCGACTGTCCGCTATAGCAACATGGTAACCATGCATCAATCTTAAAGTGATAATTTGTTTTTCACCCCCGTGGTAAAATAGAATAATCTAAACCCACGTGTTCACGATTTTCAGCTGGTTTCACTTCCCATTCATGTGCAAGTCAATCATTGGCCGAGTTTTTTTCCCATGATATATTGGTTTGTAGAAGGCGAAGTTTAATCCAACAAGTGGAGGACTGCCCCCTGATATCCAGTACCAGATAATCCTGAATTAAACCCATATACCGAGAACTGGCTATACAAGCAGCACATTTTGATGAAACACGGTACACATGTGCTCTGGTATGATCAATCTGATTAAAATAAGATCCTGGTTGGCTTAATTTTTTTATATAATTACTATAATTATTATATATTTTTTATTATCCGCAGCAGTACATATAAGTGGTCAGCCATTTTTTTCATCTGGAGTTCTACGCTTGCGCAAAACATGAGTTTAACCGCTTTGTAAGACGCTCTGTGATTGGCTGAGTAAATTGACTGGTTCTGGAACGAGAGTTCCTATGCGGATTGTTCAGATCCCGGTGGCTTTCACGAACAAAACCATTCTTGCAGCAAAATAATTGCAACGTTAAAAAATAATTAAAATAAATAATAATTATAGTAAATAATTAAAATAAATAATAATTATAGTAATTATATAAAAAAAAATTAAGCCAACCAGGATCTTATTTTAATCAGATTGTGGTATGATTACTGTTGTGTTTTAAGCTGTGCGTATTAATTACCAAAGTTGCTAATACTTTTTAGGGTATACTATATGAAGAACATATGAAGTAATAAATCTAGAATCATATTTATTAATTGAGATTTACATTTAACAAAAAATCTATACAAATGTATTCTCAAAACTAGTAAAATTTACTAGATGATATGATCCGCCTGTTTTGATATTTCTCGCTGTACACATGACTCAGTGGACGGTGTTTTCAACCCATTGCTGCTAGCTTGTGCTGATCGCACCCAAACAAAATTGCATGGCATACAGTTAAATAAGTTCACATTGTATTAATCATGGCTAAATATATTGAACATTTGGTAGGGATTCATTGCAGCTCTACACAGCAGAGCCTCTTCCCAGCGTTGTAAACATCCAACGTAGTTAAAAGGCGGCAGTCGTCGTGCACAACTTGTTCGATATGGGACTCATAGCGACGTGTACAACGCGTGTAAAATACATTGTTCATTTACATGAAATTCGAACATGCGCTGCGCGACGACCACCGCGCTTTAAATAAATTGAACAGATTTGTACACGCCAGTTTATGAATGCTAGTTTGAACTGTAATCATATCTGCTATACATAATAGACATATGAATAAATGTCACGAACAAAATATAATACATGTACAAATGTATCGTTAATGTAAGCCGAGGGTCACTGATGTTAATGTACTTTGTTTCCATTTAATTGCTTTATCTATATTCCGTTTACACGAGCCACGCTTTCTTCGCTGTTAACGTATTTATTTTTCGTCTTCTTCAGTCCATAGTCCATCATAGCAGCAAACATGTCCTCTTTGCTATGTAATAAATCTGCCCACCTATTGGCAAAGTCATCAAGTGACTTTTCAACAGAGCCGCCATATTCACCTGGCAGGAGCGATGATGATACTTTGCTGTGCAGTTTACTCAGATCATCGCCATGGATAAAAAACTGTGAATGTCAAAGGTTATACGTAACTATTTCACAAATATACAGGTAACTATAATCCAGTACAATTTTATATGTCAACGTCGAGAATTATTCTTACTGACCTGAGAAACTTTTGCGATAACCTATTTGATGGGGGTTAAAGCATGGGAATCGTCACCTGGGCATGCGTGTGATTGTTGACAAACAAGAGTCTACCCATGAGTCTTTGCGTATTTAGCGTATGTTGTTATGCGCGTGCGCATGTGACGACTCTCCCGCTTTAATACAAATATAATAACTTGTGCATTGTAGTGCATTCTACCCGTTATGACAGGTGTCGGATGAACCGGACTTAGCGAACAAAACTAACGACAATCAACATATGTTACGTATCCTGAAGTTTCTATAAATATATTACTACTTACCCTTTTTCTAATCTTTTCTTTAAGAAACGGTTTTAAGATGGCATACATACCATCAAAAAATCCGGATTCATTGAGTACATTGATGCTACCAACTCTTTGTGGAAACGTGTCCTACAAGAAGAAACACAGCAGACATAAACAGAGTGTATTGTATTTATTGCCGGCGTTGAGATGTGCTAAAACTGTAACGCAAGGGTTGCCTGTAATCCCAGGTGGACATTTTTGGGAAATAATAAATGATTATTTCAGTGGCTGCAACTTAATACTGCATCTGCAAATCCGATTTACATCATTTCTAATTTAATTTCTTTCACTTAGCATAGTAACGCTTATATTATAATTATAAAACCAACAAATGTGTATTTACATATATCAACCGTTTTGGATGATAAATTGATCAGCTGGATATGATATGATATAGTATGTTTGCTCAGGTCTCAGTTACTATAAAACACACATCCACGTTTTAAAAAATAGGTCATCGCAATACTGTTTACGATAGTTTTACGTTTCTGTGTAATTCAACAGAGTTCATTTGGTTCCACGGTAGATGTTATATTCGAAGCATACTTAGTAACTGGTATCTTAGCCTGGTATTTCTAACCCCTAATTTACCCCAACGTGTTTTAACATGATACAACTTACGGAACTCATTAACGGTGCTACTTTCATAGCTAAACGAGGTCCAAATTGCGTAATATGTCTCATACCAATCCCGCCCATGTCAAGAATCAGTACGACTCCATTTATTTGGGTTTCTTCGTCCATCATATTGATATCACCTGCCATGACGCTAACTTTCATCAACTCCCATACCGTAGAGTTCTTGGGATTCCACTTACCTACAATGCAAGTCTGGTGTCAACACAATATTATACCTACACTGATATCTAGCGACAAATACGTATAATCGGTTGTCTTTTTAAAGTATCGTACGGAATTAATAAATATCAAAACTTTGTTTGTACAGAGTCATACGTTTGCTGACGACTAGCGTATTACCTGGACGAGATATACTTATAAGGCGTCCTTCTGAATCTCGAGTTGAGAGAGAGAAGAATACCCCGTCTTGTATTAGTTCTTTTGCAGTAGATGGCCTATAGTCGCTGAACACCTCCTTCATTTCCACCCTCACACGACACCAATTCTCTAACAGTTTGAATGATCGGTCAATGTCAAATTTTCGAGCTCGCAAAAATCCAAGAAGGAATACTGCGTCCGTTGGGCAATTCATATGAGGACGTGCTTGGATCATCTCAAATAGCTTCTTCAGACCATCTTTGCGTGTTTCGGCAGTTTCGTTTAATTCTCTCCTCGCTTTCTCCTGAAGTTCCTTGCTTAATGTACATATGTATTCGGGTGGCGCGGCAGCCATTTTGACGACAGTCTAAAAATGACACTGACAAGGAGGAGTCGTTTAAACATAAACTACACAAAGAAACTAACTAAAACTCGTGACACTCACGGCGTGACCCGCCCTGACCCAATAAATTACATACCGTGATGTTCCGACCCTACTCTCATAGACCGTATGTAGCTCAGTCAGTTAGTGTGTCGTTCCAAATTTTTCGATACTCATATAAGTTGAAACAGTGTTCCTGTATGCCGAGTTCTCAAGAACTAATTACTAAGTTGACACCAAAGGTCAACAAAAAATTAATAATTGACATGCGGTGTTATCCTGTACCTATCCAAATATTAGGAGGCATTCAAGGCGGGTCAGTGATATTACAACAGACTGCAATGTCAAGGAAAAGGACATAACAATTAATAAAATCACTCATGAAATGAACATGTAACCATTATGAACAGACGAAAAGACACGTGAGAAGAGCAGATGTGCCGATATGATGAACAGATAGTAGGAAGGGCAAGGTAGCTACACATTGCACCCTTTTGGCCTGAATCCAGAATAGAATAGAATAGAATAGAATAGAATAGAATAGAATAGAATAGAATAGAATAGAATAGAATAGAATTATATAGTAAACGTTTCCTTCTCTCTTTAATGGATTATAATTTCATAATACTATTTGACAAATCTCTGAGTAATTTAGAATAAAATGAGAAAGATTTAATACTTACAGATTTACCGGATTTGAAATATTTGGCGCATGAAGAAGTCTGGTCCAATATTAAAGAAATATGTATTTAAAATGTCCAAGCCGAGCTGTCAATGACAATAGCGTCTATTTAATCTGACACACGAGGATATAATCGCAATGAATTGTGGGTAGTAGACTGAGTCACCGAACCCCTTTGTTGGGCTTGACGGCGTCTGTAATTTATATTGATAATTGTGTGCCGTTATCTCTGTCACTCCCAAGGTTTATTATGTAAAGAGGAGCTTAGAACTTGTGTTCTACCTACTATAAAATACTCCACCAATGCCTAGAATTTATGCTATGTTCTTACTATACAGCACTCCACTAATGCCTAGAATTTATGCAGTGTCAAACCTACTGTACAGCGCTCATGTAATGCCTGGAATCTATGCTGTGTTCCACCGACTGTACAGCACTCCACTAATGCCTAGAATTTTTGCAATGTTCCGCCTACTATATAGAACCCCACCGACGCCTGGAATCTATACTGTGTTCCACCTACTATTCAGCACCCTCCCAATAGAATATTTAATCATCACAATCTACAGTTTTCCTCCTGTTATACATCACTTTAATAACGCTAAAACTTTGTGCAGTGTCATCTACTATTCAGCACTCCACTAACGCCTAGAATCTGTGCAGTGTTCGACCTAATAAACAGCAATTGTAATAGACATAAATCAGCAACTTTAAATTGACATAAATCTGATTGGCTGTTTGAGGTCATCATTAACGTAGTCATTGTAAATCATTCCCTGCGTGTCGATACTTATGGAAATAAACATATGCTCAACATATTTCGAGACACGTCCAATATTCATAATTGGGTTGTAGTGTGAGTCACATACGTTGCGTGGCACGTGTTCGAATATAGTGTATAAATACACCATGTAAACATACGCCTCGTTCCATGTCAAACGTGACGCTGGCAACGACTTTCTTCGGACTGATGTCTGTTTATATAGAAACCAAGTCACTGCACGATGTAGAAATGGTATTGGGCGACACAATATTCAACTCAACCAATTATTCACAGTGTGTATTGGAAACATATCCTGCATCGAAATATACTCACTGACATATTCTAAACATTCTCAATACATCTTAAACCCATATAACATATAACAAACCCAATGATCTCTAAGACAAACATAACTACGAAGATTGAATAGGCGTGGTGTGATACAAGGCACATCAAATTATTGACCCGGAATGTATGTATCAGTTGCCGGGCAAGTGGTTAGGGTCGCCTTGGGTAAACTCATATTTCGCACTTGCTGTTTAATATGCCAACCTCATTCGCATTCGTGATATTTGTTTGTGAAGCCCTTGACGTAATCAATTGGTTATACATAAATATATATACGTTTCTATGTAATGTAGTCTGAGAGTGTATGTTGTGCCATAAACAATGAAATACATGTGTTGTTGTATGACGTCATATATATATTGGAAGTTATGTGTTTACCTAATGTTTTTTTGAAAAGCAATATATAGCGTATGGTTCAAATAGGCACAGCGATGGGGCTGTAAGGGGCCAGGGCGGCGAAAAAAATGCCTTATTCAATACTAACTTTGGTGATTCTATTATTTAATAATCAGAACATGTAACATGGGTCTAAAAATGATATCTTCAATCTGATAAAAATCTATTAAAACATTTATTTTAATGGAAAACTGGCGGCGATACGATATATACACATCAAAACTCCGCGTTTGTTCATTATGGGTATCACACTACATGTATAACTGGTTAAAGCATAACAATCTCCCTGTGCATTTATTTTCAAAATTATTTATCGCATTTCCTTCTAAATAAAACGCGTATACGCACTTAGTGTCGCTCTGTTCTGTACGTACATGATGAACGTGCTCGTTCCCTCATTCATAACGCCCCCCTGGTTCTTGTAATTATTTTTATCCGATTTTGAATTGTATTTCGGATTAGGCATTGACCAATCACATCACGCAAATTTAAGCAAATGTATTAAGTGATAATAGTCTACGTCTACTTGTTTGTTTATTCAAATCCCTAAAATTGTGTCTATTGTAAAACACTTCGACCAACAACCGGTTCATCGTCCGAATCGCACGGTTTCGCTAACGCCGGTCATTCATAACCGGTCGGATCGTGTTAAGAAAAGCTGTATTTCACTGCAGTTAAATTGAGTCATTTGATTGGGCGTGCCAAGGAACTGGCGCCACCAATCAGCTTTTCTGTATCATAAATGTGACGGCCGGGGGGGGGGGGTCACCACAGATTAAAACAATGGCGGTAGGTAGGCTTTGCGCTGATTTATCTGGAGTCGAGAACAGAAGGCCGCTGACACATTTCCAAAATCTTATATTCTAACGTTGAATGAAGACGATGGGATGTCTAAATATTTGTGCAAACCGTGTTTTAGTAAACTGACAAAACTGTCGAAACTGATAATATATCGACTTGCCTGACCCGGTCTTCGTTGCAAACATATCAATTCCCTCAGATGCAGCATTAAGGGCTTTCTTTTGATGGTCAGTAAGCTCGTTCACCGAGAAAAATCTAGCAACACGTTAATTTCTATATATTCCACCATTTTAATTTTACTAGGGGAAGAATCACACGTGAGGGCGCCCTTCTTTCAACGGTGTGTATTTTGTATCATTACCGATTACGTGTTGGAAGTAGCATCCAGTCCACGGCTAGAGAATTTCTTGAAGACGTAAATCTGTCCCATATCCGGTATGCGCAGCTTTACTGGTGTTTTCTATAGAGGTATTAATTAAATCATCAAGGACCCTTCTGCATTTTCCTCCGGATGGAGAGCCAGGGCGAACTTTTCTATTGTATCCATTTTGGGTCGGCGTTTTAGCCATTGTTATTAACGAGTACGACATCATCACCCTATAATCATGGTTGTCGTGAGAACTGCAAACAGTATTACACCAAACCCGTAATACGTGTCAACGCTAAACTGCACCACCAAACAAACTAAACTACACTAAGATAATATACTCACATGTCAACATTTTTGACAGAAAAATAATATCGCCAATATTCAAGAAAGTAACGGAATTTCCGTGAAGATAGCACAAGCGTTTTCAACAGCCGTGTTTACATCGCCATCTTTAAAGTGACCTGACTCATAGGTCACGTGACACCTGATTGTGAAAATTCGTGGTATATGAATACTAATTAGAAAGGTTTGCATGCCAAGAAAAAGCTTAAAAGTGAACGCACAATCACACTGTAGTAAACATGTCGTATCTAACCACAGGGAGTCCAGGAACTATAATCAACTGTAGTACGCAGTCTCTATGAGCGGGGGGGGGGGGTATCGGCTGGTATCTAGTGTAAGAAATAGACAAGGGATGAAAGCTCCAGCCAGCTCACATGTTTTAAACTCAAAAAACAGACGAATAGAATGAAAAATAAAATCTAAAAAAAATACCAGGTTGAAGAATATTAGTTGCTCCATCAAATTTCGCCAAAGCCTTACCTACATTTTACCGATATCTGCAGAATAAATCAAGAAAACTACACAAATTGACTCCATTTAGGAATTCCTAACGGTTTGCCCGAACGCACGGCACAGTTGGAGGCGTGGTCTGTTCTGTATTTTGTCAACAACCAGTTGAGCAAGGCTAACCGAGCCGTGACCTCGATGTGGTTCGTAACCAGTCTTGTGATTGAGACTGCGTACTACAGTTGATATATAGTTCCTGGGCTCCCTGTGGTCTATATACATGTACATTCATTGTGATTTTCAGAGCGTTCGGTGTCTTGCATAACACGAAAACCATTTATTGATTTCCGTATACGCCAAAAACATCGATCATAAACCGTGGTTCAAAAATGCTATTAACAACATTTTTTATTAAAACACTTGAAACCATGCACAAGCTACACATATATTGTAATCAAACCATAATATTTTGTTTTATTTGCCCTAAAATCAACAAACTTTTTGTAGTAATGAATTATTCATACATTTAAATGAGACGCAACCAATCGCGTCATGCAACATACTGCCGGAATTTTACAAAGTAATATGTCGTTTCTATCGTGAGTTCTGATTGGGTGATGCAAATGAGCCAATTGAATCTTATAATCGTTTGAGGGCGTGCGACATACGGTGAATCGTGGTGTTGCCAGGCTTCGCCTCAGGCTGAATAAATGGTCCTGGGATGGCGAAGATGCAACCGGTTTGGCGCTACTATAGTTTCTTTCCGGAGTGAGTTCTACGCATCTATTGCGTTCAAAATTGTCCCCTTTCAAATTGCGGTAGGT